ATTCTTGATCCATAGCAAATTTTCCTGATTTTTCTCTGATAACATCAAATATTCAGATATCTTTCGATTTTTACTGACATTAGACATCCTATTAAGTGCACTTCTCAATGCTCATGTGTCCACTCACTTGTCCGCAAAAAAAAAACTGTACTTGCTGCAGTTTTGAGCAAAATGGGGCTCCATTCTGCCAAAGTCTAACCTTATAAAATGTTTGTTGTGTGCCCAAATGGGGTTTGTTGTCGGCCTCCTGTGGTGTAGTGGTTGTAGCGCTAGCTCTATGATCCGGAGGTCGCGGGTTCGATTCCCGGCCAGGCGACCCGAGTTTGATGGTCTCAAACAATGGTTGCCTGGGACTGGTTGTTCAGTAGGGACGGAGGGGGTCGGGACTAAAAAGCGCGGGATTAGCCCTTGTGGGCTATTAAAGTAGTAAAGAAAAAAAAGAAAAAAAATGAGACTATGCAAGTACGCAGAGGATACCACTTGCTGCTGTCTTGCCTCACACGAAATGTATACAGCCCTCATCATAAAGTCGTGGCCTATGTTCGTCGATTTTTAATCATCAAAGTAATATTTATAAAAGCCTTTTGGATGAGTATCGATAATTGAACGTATTTATGCTAAAAGAAACTATGTCTCACTTTCCTATACAGATAGTTCCTTTTAAACACGTCCAATTGTACGACGCGTTCAATATTTTCCACCCGGACGCTGTAGTAATCACCATTTTTTCAAAATTGTATTTTTGCACTTTTCTGCTCTGTTCAATGACGTAGTAAATTTTTAAAGCGAAACTTCAAAGATACATCTGGTTTTTCAGGAGAGAAAAAAAAACCGAATGCTCAAGTTTTCAGGAAAATGGGAAAAAACTGCCTTCACTGTGCCTATTTAGATTCCGCGGCTACACTGTTCGGCTGTTCGTGCCTCGAGATGCACGCGCACTGAGAAAAAGTGTGATATAACATCTTTCTAAGTCAACTAGATTTTTCACACAGTGATATCACTTAGTGAAAATAACTAGGATTATGCTAGTATTTACCAGAACTCAACTGATTCTTACCGTAATATTGTAAATGCGACTATAGAGTCTGGTGTTCATTACCGTACTCGTATGACTGTGTCAGAGTGTGGTAAAACCCACCGTACTCTTTTTTCTGTGCGATTTTGATTCTTGCCGCGACAGAATGACCGAGCGTAAGTTGATACGACATCAGTCTTTGACTCCAGACTTTCAAGTAAAGATTTTTAATGCGCCCCACTTTAATGACCTATTTGCACGGCGGGAATGTTGCACGGAGAGAGTGAGCGTCTTGTGCAGCGGAGTGGCGCGCTTAAATATCACAGTTCATCGTCGAGCGAGTCACAGCGCAGGCCCCCCCTCCTCCCCCTCTCCCCCACGCCCCCTGTCTCGACCCCTCTTCCCGGCGCTGCATATGAATACGAGTACCTACGCGTGCAAAGAATGGCCCAAGAATCCTGAGCCAATGCTCTGCGATCTTGGTTTCGAGTGTTCGCCCGTGATATTAATCCATCCTCAGCGCCAAATTGAACACGAGTCGGTTGAGCGAAATTCAGCTATTCTCAGCAACTGGACCGCCAATAATCCACCGATTGCTTACAAATGATTTTTCTTTTTTTTCCCTTTTCTTTTTCCATTCTTCCTCGCGTTTTGGCATGTTACAACGGAGTGAGTTCTCGAACCTCGAGCCACCTCTCCTTGGTGGGAAGCAGCTTTCCTCCCATAACACTTCAATTTATATTGATTTGCCGCTCCAAGACTGAACCGATAGACACATTACCGTCAGCTTGTGCTCCGAAATTGCCGATGATAATCAGCGAATACGGATTGCACTTAGCTAATCCTTCAGAAACGTCTTGAATTAACGATTATTACTGAAGACTGATTAGCGTGCAATGAAATCTCAGGAAGTTCCCGTGTAAAAAGTGACTCATCAAATATATTCTATCAAAATGAAGGTAAAGGGTGTTGTGCAATCTAAGCGGTTACTTTTTCGAAGTTGGTAGCATTTGCGGCGATTTTATTCATTGGGTTCTTTTTCAGAAGGATTTTCGCCACTTCACTTTTTCTCTCTCACAAAATGAATTTCCACTGTCAGGTGCAGAGTATTACGATTTTTACAAGAGAAAGGCGAATAAGGCCTTCGGGTGCTTTTAAAGTGATATCGGAGCGGTTCCAGAGCAATCAAAGAATAACCGATGATTTCTGAATTTCAAGAAGCAGCTGTTTCAAAAAACTTTGACGGTCACATTATGTTAAATTATGTTCAATCAAGATCGCGAAGAGCCAAAAAGAGACAACATCATTTTCACTAATACCTGGATACGATCAACATTCATTTCAACAAGACTAAAAAACAGCATTCTAAAAATCTTGTTGTCTACATTTTTTATTGTGTCGTGAAGTTGAGGAAGAAAAACACGTCAATGTAGACCTCGTCTGCTGGTTCATTCACGACCGTGCTTTTTCATTTGAAAACTTTATTTGGAGCGTAAAAATTTACATTGTGCAACTAATTCTCACACTTTTACTTAAGAATAATTAATAATTTGTAAAGGGGCCGTTCAAGTATTACCTGACGCACTTTTTCCGATTCTTGTCCCTTTTCCCCGATCCCCTCGCCCCTCGTAAAGCACCCGCAACGCAGCCCTATACCCCACTTTTGAATTAAGTACCGCTGGCCTAACCCCCATCCCCCCTATTAAAAAAAAAGAAAAAAAAAAGAAAACACTGAGAAAACAGATTAAAAAAAATCTTATTGTTTTTAAAGATATTTTGCTGAAACACGACGGGAAGATATCAACATTGAAAAGAGCGGGAATTTCAATTTCTCGCACGTTTTTTTAAAAGTTTTTTATTTTTCTTCCGGCTCGGATTTGTTACGTAACTCTCGGCTTGACCCCCTACCCCCTTGTAACGCACCGTAACACTGGTAAAAAAACCTCTTGGTTCAAGAGTGCAGTTCCTTGTCGCCGGATTTAAGAGTCTGGACTCTTGTTTCAATGCAAAATCCGCTTGAAACAAGAGTTCAAGACTCTTAAATCCGGCGACAAGAAACTGCACTCTTGAGTCAATGCAATGCGGCATTGGTCCAAGAGGTTTTTTTTACCTATGAACGCTGGCTAGGACGCCCCCCCCCCCTAAGTGCGTTACGTAATACTTGAACGTCCCCAAAATTCAATTATTATCGCGAGAGGATTGTTATGAAAGTTTAGGAGCGAAATTTCGTAGCACGAGCTGACGATGGTGCGTCTTCCAGTTTTGTCTTCCTCTGGGAAATCAAAACAATTCAGGGCGTTATTCGAGAAAGGTTGCCTCCGAAGCGGCAGCCGCTCCCGCAACGGCTCTCATTAAGAATATTTACCAGAGCCGCCCGCGCTCTCGCCAAAAAATGATGCCCAGAACCATACTCGAAGGAGCTCCTCCGATCCCATTACTCGCCGCTTCAATTTCTCAGTTGATGAGTTATTAATTCTCGCCCGGGTGCAATTGAAATTTTATATCGAACGAGACTCCACTTCTCGGAATAATGCTCCCAGAAATAGTTCCATCGATCCCGTTTATTTCGGGATGGGGATACGCGGGAAAAGTTGCGACGTAGTATTCGTCCATTCCGGTATCAACAAGGGGGGGGGGCGGGAAACAAGGCTAGCACACAACGTTAAAAACCCGAGATGTTCCGACTCAAAACTGAGTCATTTTCAATCGGAGATTAAATTGAAAATTAAAAAAATATAAAAAAAAAAACCACAACGTTGACCGAGATCCGAGGAAGATCAGTTTTTTAGTTTGCTCTTCTCGGATCTTGGCCACCAACATGTGAGTCTCAGGTTTTTCCCCGCGATGATTTTTAATTTTTTATTTATTTTCCGATTGAAAATGTCTCAGTTTTGAGTCGAGACGTCTCGAGGTTTTAGTGTTATATTTTAGCCTTGTTTCTCGCTCTTCCCCCTTGTATTGTGTATCTATTCCAGTAATGGAGGGTGGAGCAGGATTACGAACTACTACAAAATGGCAGGTGCTGGGGTTTTCTGAAAAATATTTTTCTGTCTTGGTTTCGGAAAAGGGAACGAACGACGGTTCATCGGATGAACCAGTTATTGACGTTGTGGCGAAAGGTGCAGCGCAACCCTGCGTCAGCCAATAGCAACGCAGCTCAGCGTCGCCGCTCCTCATTGGCCCTTGCATCACCGACCGGGCCTTGCAAGACGGACTGGGCCAGGAGCGGTAGAGCGGTCCGCTACATAGGGCCCGGTTGGTGATGCGAGGGCCAATGAGGAGCGGCGACGCCGAGCTGCGTGGCTATTGGCTGACGCAGGGTTGCGCTGCACCTGTCGCCACATGCACTAAATTGATCAGGAGATTACAAATGTCGTCACTCTAACTGTAGACTGGTAAATCATCAAGTGATCGACTGACTGCCTCTGTAAAATGACGAGTTTCCTTCGATTTTTAAAGTTCAAAACTTCACTCAAGACTTTTTGAAGACTTAGAGCATGAATAGTATTTCCGCGAGCACTAACACATGCCAAATATAGGCTTTGGCAGAGGAGTGCACGAGAGCGACTGTGGCCATTCAGAAGTTTTGAGGATAGAATAATTTAAGGCTTAACAGTGAATGAGTTTTCACGTTTATGCCTGAGTTAATATATCTCTCAGGTATACTCTGACTTTCCATGAGCATGTCACCTCGTTTTCAGTCTTACAGCCCATGCCTAGTTTCAGTCTTAAAACGATTAAGGTCAGGTCTTCAAAACAGATTCAATAAAAAAATTCAAAATTAATACACGGCCGCATTCAATTTGCGCACAAGATACGAGAAGTTTAAGAATACGTAAGAAAAGTACAGCTAGCAAAAAAAAAAGAGAAAGAGGGGGGAGGGGGAAGGAGATGACACAAGAATGAAAAAGGCGATTTGTCAATGAAGCACCTAACAGAAAGGAGTGGGCGCCAAAGAGAAAGTTTGAATTAAGTTGAAACTTACCCATTTTCGGCGGCATCATGTCCTTGGGATAGTTGGACTTGATGGCGTTCATCCGCTTGCTGACGGCGACCGGCGGGCCATGCTGGGAGGGAGGCGCGTTGAGGGAGGGGGTGGCACTGCCGGGCCCGGAGGCCCCCTGCCCGGGTCCGTGAGGCCTCGTCGGGGGCCTCAGCTGCTCCACGGGGAGGACCCGCCGTCGCTTCTTCGGGAGCTTGGCTCGAGCTTGCGTGTGCGAGTAGTACATGGTGAAGTTGGAGACGATAACCGGGACCGGGAGTGCGATCGTGAGGACACCGCCGATGGCGCAGAGGGCACCCACGAACATGCCCACGTAGGTCTTGGGGGCCATGTCCCCGTAGCCCACGGTAGTCATCGTGACCAGGGCCCACCAGAGCCCGAGGGGTATCGAGTTGAAGTCGTTGTGCGGGTTGGCCTGGATCCTCTCGGCGTAGTAGACGAGAGAGGCGAAGATGACGATGCCTAGCACGAGAAAAAACACGAGGAGGGTCAGCTCCGTGGCCGAGGCCCGAAACGTCTGCATGAGGATCTTGAGGCCGGACGAGTGTCGCGTCAGCTTGAAGAGTCGCATGATCCGGATGATGGAGAAGAATTCGAGGATGTCGGCGTTCTCCAGGTAGGAGGCGTACTTCTGGAGGATAAGGTCGATGTAGAATGAGAGGGTGGCGATGTAGTCGATGATGTTGACGGAGGCCTTGACGAACTCGCACTTGTTCGGCGAGGCGATGAAGCGGACGATGATCTCGAAGGTGAACCAGGCGTTGCAGAGGCACTCGATGTAGAAGAAGGCTTCGTGGGCGTTCGTCTGGGTCTTGTCCAGCGTCCAGGCCGAGGTGTTCCGCGAGGTCGCCACCGTGATGTTCCGGATGACCGGCACGCGCATGTCCGGGTGCGTCTTCAGGCAGAACGAGAGGATCGAGATGCAGATGAAGAATATCGAGACCACCCCTATTACCTGCAACAAACAACCATTTTTCCTTAGTATCTACTTCAAATTGTACGACGGCATGGGGAAAAACCACCTACACTATAATGGGCCTGTTGCAAACTTTTGCTGGAGCAAAAATAAGAGTTGTTTCTCATAGATACTGTCTCAAAAATCACGATGATGCATCGGCAAACTCTGAAATGCACTCCTAACTTCACTGTCTGCGTAAGAAATTTGCGTTTTTTTTTTTAAATTCCCGCTTCAAAGAGGAAACTACAGCACACCGCACACGTGAACATTTCGTTAGAGGAGTCGTTCCTCTCAATCCCTGCTTACCATGGCCGACGCTTCCACGCGCAAGTTCAAGAGAGAACGAGGTCAATCAAAACGTATATCTAACATCGGGAGAAAAATTTGAATGTAAACACGCCGATTGTTATTCGTTGCATGGTTGAAATCATCGTCCTGTCACATGTGTTTTGGCGGATGGCGTCGGCTATGTTTAATATTGCGTAGTAATCTTGAGAGCAGAGGCTGGATGAATGACTCCTCTAACGAAATGTTCACCTGTGCCGTGGTATCGTTTTTGAGGCGGGAAGCTCGAGAAAACGCGAATTGTGAAGTAAGGAGAGGATTTCAGACTTTACCCATGAATTTACTTCAAATTAAATATTGACCATCGAATACTGTTAATCACGTTAAACTGAAGAATGTGCTAATTCTAAAGGCAAGAAATTTTTATAAATAAAATGCTTTCGAAAGATTCTCCTGAGACTAAATTTCTGCTTTCCGGAAGGCCAAAAGCTTGCAACACCCTCGTTAGAAATGCATTTGTCGATGTTGTTTCTTGTTGTAGTGGTGTTTTTTTCATGAGGTCCTTTATGCTGAATTTTTCCATCAACCCGACAAAATTGAAGATCCATTGACAGTCTTTATTCAAGAATATTTCAAGTTGTGTTTAAGTTCAATTCCTCATTGACACACACACAATTGAGTGTACAATTTACCTGAATACCAGACCAAATGGCGAGGAACGAACTCTAAAAAATGTGCAGAGGCGACATAGATTGGCCCAAAAATCGCCCTCCTTTTAAACAGTTACCGGAATTCAATCTGGGATATTGAACTGCGAATAGCAAATGTTTTGAAATCTTCCGTTGAGACGATATAAGGAGGATCTTACAACTCGTAACGTGCACTTTTTAAATGTATAATTTGGAAAAAAGCAGTGACCCTCAAGAATCAAAAGTTTTAGATTGCAGTAGTTTTGGAAGATCTCGAAAAAGATCCGCAACAGATTGAAATCTGCCAACACTGCAAAATTTTCCGTTTGAATCGCAAATTTTAATTTTTCCCTTTTTTTTTTTTTTTTTTGATCTTGTGTACACCTTCGTTAATGATGTTAGTTAATTGAATCACTCAAAATTAGTCTGTTTTCTCTGATACACCACCATTTTGGAAACTATTCGATTTTCTTCACTTACAAAAAATTATGTAGGACCTCGTTCAAACTGCTGTGGGGGGTCCAGAAAGCTAACGGTGTAAGCTAAAAGTCATAGTTAGTGACTCATTGTCAGCTACTTTCAAACGACACGTCTTGGTGACTTTTAAAGGTTGGTTACGAGCTTGACAAGCTGCTCGTCACGAATTCTTCTAAGCAAAGAACTAATCCCTCAAAATTCCCACTGGAAGAAAGTTTTGGTTGGAAAATCACACTTCTCCATTGTGAGAATAGAGAGGGCTTCTTTCGGTGCGTTAATGCCTTGCTTGTGATGTCAAGACCATCAATGGTGGACGAAAATTGGGGAATCAAAAGAATCCGGGACGTGGATAAACTTTCCTCTGCTGACAGTCGTGGGTGCGAAAACGCTGGAAGCTCTAGTTACGAATACGGAGGTGCAGGAAGAAAAACGTTGATTTGAGCCGCAGCAGGAGCAGTGTCGGAAAGTTACGAAAGCTCCGAGAAGTTTCGGATATCTCACCTGAATTCATTTGACTGGAGCGTCAGAACTGCACGGAGCACTTAGTCAAAACAAGGCGGTCCAAGTTCCACGCACGTCAAGCGCCCTGGGTACGAACCGTTCCGTGTTGTCGGGTCAACCCAAATATCTAAGTAACGAGTTCATGATTTACCCAAAATGAAGGCTAATTGGTAGATGCAACACAGAAGTGGTGTGGTAGAAAAAAACGGTAATAGACAAAGGACTTTTGTGGGTGGTAGAAGGTAAAAATTGATCAGCGCGACGTTTTTTTTAATAATGATGAACAACTTGATCAGCCGAAGCACGTCATAAAATATCAACTTAATCTGGGGAATGGCTGCAAAAAACACAAAAAATCAAAAAATCGCAGAAAACCTGGACGTTTTTTTTGTAATAAAATCTCATGGTCAACCTAAAAAGGGCGAAAACTGAGTCGTCGATTGGCTGCGAGATCGAGACTGGTTGCAAAGTTGGGAGACTCGGCCCAGTGCAGCAGAACCAAGGCACGTTAAATCAATGATTATCATTAGAAAATTCAATCACCAGCATCCCTTTGGCAAGAAAAAACTGACGATGAGAGGCGCCAAGACCATGAACGTTGGCGCAGAAATTACGAACTGTGTCTCTGCGCTTCAGGATGTTTATTTCGAAGAGACGATGCGGAAAATAACGTTCTGATCAAAGAGTTCTCTACGATACGTTAGCCTTGAACTGAATTTGAAATTAGATTGAATGCCCGCTACATTCTTTGATTCTAATTTTCAACTGAACTCCTAATAATGTCTCAATCTTTCCAGATGTTACATTGAAAAATGCTTGTTCCAAAAATGATACTATAAAGATCGCTCAAGACTGTTGAGGCAACTAAATATGTGGTAACGTCAAAGTATTACAAGGAATCGGATTAAAATGAGAAATTAAAGTCAAAATCGTCCAAAGTAAGTGTAAAAATCTTCTGAGAATATGTAACTAGATAGATGAATTTGCAGCTCTAATACCTTAATTTATGTGGAACTGCAACTTAGGTTTGGTCAACTGAGGGGCTTGCAGGACAAGGCACATATGTGCAGTTTTTGCTATGCCGAGAAATACGCGTTAAAAGTTTCGAAAGTACACGAATCCTTACGGCGGGGACAAAGTTCAAACTGACTTTTTAATGTTTAGAAATTGGAAACTGGGAGCGAATTTCTCAGAGATTGCATTAAGACAAGTTTTCCTTGAAACCATGAATACGTCGGTTTTTTTCAAACGCTGCACTTGCGCGTCAAAGTCTCTCAATTCATATTTTTAGAGATCGAAAGTTTCCTTGAGCTTGGAAACGCGTTCCATTAAATACAGGATTACGAACGTACAAGCCTCGTCGTCTCGTTGTTTTATCTGAGATTTTGTAAAATTTCATCGTGATGTCATGTGCTGTATATTTTTATTATATAAGTTTAGTGCATTTTATTCTTTTGTTTTTTGAAATGTGAAAACACGAAATGTCGTGCAGGCTGATGTTAGCCGATTGGCTGAAAAGCTTCCCTACAAATAGAATCTGTAATATGTAAGTAGCCAGATTCTTATCAATTCCTTGGTTAGCACAGGGATATTGACCCGGTCTCTTAATTATTAATCGAAAGAAATTGCTATTACTACAAGCATAATGCTTGTTTTTATTAAGAAACGTAGGATTACCGCGCTTTGTTCTTTCAAGAAGACGCAGAGCCCGATTGCAAGAAAATAGTTCCCTCCTGTTGAAACCTCCAACCTTCCTGAATTATTGCGTAGCGTCTATGAGGATGGCATCGTTGCGCACATTCGGCAGAACTTTCATGACAACTCACGTCAGCTTTCGAAACATTTAACACAACGCGGAGGCCGTGTCTCGTAAACTGCGGCGTGACGCCGGCGGGGCGCAAACGGGGGAGGGGGCAAATTAAATTCGCGTCGACCGAAACGCCCCGGGGTCTCGTAAAGAGATGTTTCTAATTAACGACGACAACTCATTTTGAGCGGCCGTCGGAGGGGGACGAAGCAGGGCGGGGGCGGAGGCCGAGGGGGTCGCTGAAAAATCGTCCGCGTCTTTAAGAGTCGGAATCGGTTAAAGTCCTTTCCAATTATATCGAAGGGGGCTCCGACNGGGGGGGGGGGGGGGAGTAGCTAGGCGAGCAGAGGGTGCGTTATCGTTTCGTTAAAAGAGAGAAAAAGGCCGGATTGACGCGCACGGCGAATCCCGTTTGACACGATGGGGTGAATGAAGTGGAGATAACTGGACGTTCCTGTCAAATAATTGAATTAGCCGGGCGCTCGCCGATGGGCGTCTGTGTCGCACCCTCGCGGCGGCTGTAAAACAAAACTATGAGAGCGGCGTTATCGGTGTCATGGGATAATCCGCCCGTCACTCCGCGGCCCCAACTTGGGATCAGTTCATGATGACTGTTATTTCCCAGTGCCGCCACTGATAGCCTCCAGATGAATGGATAACGCGTGGTCATTTGCCAGCATCCTTGATTAATTGAATGCTTTCGTGGCAGAGACCAAGGCACCGGCCCGGGGTAACTCCTACTTCACCCTCGAAGCTCCCGTCATAGCGAAGAGAGCAGCGGTGAGTGTCGAATTTTCGAAATCGAGGTTTCTCAAAAACCCGTCTGATCTCTTTTAGATGAAATCACTGAAATAGCTAAAACCGCAATACTCATCTTAATTGTATCAAAACGAGACATATGAGAGAGCTGTAAACGCGCAAAAAATGGCGGAGTTTTAGGCGAAACAGCCGTAAGTGACATTGATCCTCCAGAGAGCAAACAGTGCTTTCAAGTAAAATGCCGCCCTCTTCTGCCAACTTCTAACCTAGAAATGTGTTTGTTGTGTGTCCAAAACGCAACCACGGAAGCATGCAGAGGATTGCACTTACGGTTGTCTTTCCTATCACTAGCATGACATGAAAATGAATAATAGTCTTTTAAGGTATTTGAAATAAAATCAGTTGATTTTTAATCACCCAAACGTTTCCTAAGAGTCTTTCGGGTGATCAGTGGCAATTTGACAAAGAACGGAGGCTTC